CTGGCAGAGATTGAGAGGGCAGATTACCTACCGTAGACGATGGTTTTAAGTATTTTGTTTCAAGCGCTGCTTGTGACATGCTTCGTTATGCATATTATGCAAGGAGAAGAGAAATTTGCTTCATTGCGAGCTGGCATGGTAGTATGCAAATTACGCTGTGCCATATTTAAAGAAGAGACTGGCGAAGAGGCGGTCATTTCTATAATTGTTCATCACAGCCTTCATGCGAAACGCAGGCGATGCATGCTTACAAAACTGTGGAATGATTATTCAGGTAAACTCGTCCAAGCCATGCAGCTTCAGTTTTGATATTCCTTGAAACCAAGTTCAGAGTCCCAAAAAGCATGCTTGGGGCTTGTTGTTTTTGCTGGGGTGAATGAAGTCCGACCAGCTTGAACCAGCCTGCAGAGGATTGCGTACAATTCTATACACACTTGATAGGTTAGTACCATTTCGCACAGCAGATCATCCAACTGAAGGAATTCGGCTCCCGCAGTAAGAGTGGTGGCTCATCGATACTGGTAGTGTGAGCTGTGGAACGAAAACTTCAATTCAGTAGGGTATGTCGGGGCTTGGTAGTCTGAAACGTACGCTGAGAAGGACTACTTCCATCCGTTGATTTGATTCCATTATACAGTGAGTATCACGTACCTCCAAATCATCGGCACGCGACTTCACGTTGCAACGATTGCATTCTCTAATGAACAGTTAGCCAAAATTTTCTCGGCTTTCACTCCTAAGGAGAGGGGGATATATTCAAAAGCAGCCCTAGTGGAATGCGCCAGTACCAGTTCACCACCGAAACGATTGAACGAATCATAGATAGACTGATTGTGTTTCACCACTGCTATGTGACTCAGGCTGAGGAATTTGAACGGTAATAATGAGATTTTTTAAGTGTTTGTAGTGAATAGTTAAAAATGAGGGTGTACTAACAAATAAGCGAAGTTTTGCAGGTGAGGCTGATAATCGCAAATGTCTACTTCATCGCCTGTACAACTATCTTCATCACATATTTTTCAATAAGTTGCATAAAGCGTGCTGCAAAAAATGCAAACTCAAAAAAAGGTAGTTTTTTAAGGAAATTAGTCTGGAATTATCTTGAATAGAAAAATTGTGCCTTTAAAAATGCTAATAGAGAACTAGAGTAAACCTCCCTTCCGTAGTGTTTTCTCATTTTAAAACTTCTTTTCCTGCTCGTGTAGTTCTTTCTGTGCTTGCGACTAAAGAATAAAAATAATTCGCCAGCGCACGGGCTGCTCGTGCGAAGATGCTTCTTTTGCACAGTTCCCCGCGTTTTTTTGCCGCTACCAGTATCGGTTTTCCCAGCAGATGCTTCTAGCAAAACAAATTAAGACTGGC